ACTATATGTAAAAACATCTGTCATATGTATTATATACAGTACAGGGCAAAACCCAGAGATAATCCAGTCAAAATGGCTAAAAAGTGCATGTTATTAATTTTTTAGAAAACATTTCGGAGGAGATTAGACACAATACAGTCCAGTTGCACTAGAAATGAGAGAGTTAAAGGAAAATAAGAGAAAAAAAAACAGGAGTTTCCAAAACCAGAGTGTTAAAAATGATTAAAAGCTACAGAGAAAATGAGGCTCCTAACAACCACCTGCAGGACCTAGCAGACCACCAAAACTATCAGTTAAACAGCGCTTAATGCTGACCGTACACTGGAGGACTAGACTTTTAAAGGACTAAAGTCTGACATCCTCTCACATCTGATGACGATGTCACAGTTTTTAGTCACAGATTAATCTGATTTTGCAGATCCTGCAGGGTCACCATTTCCAGGTCTGCACCTAGACTTTTGAGATTACTTCCCCATCATGCACCTGGTGGAAATTTACAAAAAAAGAAACGCTTTCGCTTCTCCACTCTGTAGTGGTACAAATGGGAGGATACCTTGGCTGGGTGTGTAAAGATCTGGTGTATATTCTGTATATTCTAGTATATCATCTCCCAGAACTGTATTAACTAATCTGTAAAATGTGAAAGTTTATTTTTTTATTTAACAAAGATTTACACATCAAAAACATGCAGTGATTCAGCGTTGTTGATTGGGTGTTATGAACTAAACCATAAAAAAACAAACAAAACAGGAAACCAGTGTAACATTGATGCTTCTCCAACAAAGCCCTTCTTTAAGTCCTCCACCCATTTCCTTACATCACTGTTATGCTCAGTGAACTTGAACTAATAAAACAGCCAGTTTACATTTTTAAGTTATTATGATTATTGATTTAAAGTGGAGCAGATTTGCCTTTTTACAGAGATTTCAGGCCCTCACACAGGCATTTTCTCCCTTGCACAAGGGCATAACAATGTCCCCTTATTCCAGGGGTCGGCAACATGCGGCTCCAGAACCCCATGTGGCTCTTTTACTGTCCTGTTGTGGCTCCACAGCAGAATCAGATTAGTAGGTAAAAATAAAATAATCCTCCTTTACAGTAAAATAAAGCTCTGCTGATCGTTCAACACAGTTTAACAATAAATGGTCTTAAACGCTGGAGTTAAGGTAGAACTGCTAATTCACCCTTTAAGCCTGAACAATGTTGCCTAGCTAAAAGCTAATGAAAAGGCAAAGAGAGAGATTTAAGATGAACGTCAATAATTTGGAGATGAATGGACTTATTTGTGTTTATAATCACTCCAGCTGGTTTCCTGATACGTTTAATCTGCAACGAGAAACTGTCAAAAGCTAAAACGATGCAAAGCTGAAGTTGCTTCTCATTCGCCAGCTTCTTATTGGACTTTTCACGTGCCATCTTAAATGTTGCAACAGTTAGCTACATAGTTAGCTACATTCTGGCACCTTAGGCACATTTAAGGTGGAACGTGAAAATTCGAACAAGAAGCTGGCAAATAAGAAGCGACTTCAGCCTCGTAAAAAGTTGAACGTTGAAAGACATTTTACAAGAAACTGTTCTACTTTTGAGGAAAAGTTTCCTGCCGGAGATGTGAGAGAAGCAGCTATAGCTGAGCTAAAGCTTAAAGCAGAGCAAAGTAAGTCTGCATTTTCACTTATATTATATTTTCAGCCTATATTAGTACATCAGCACATCCTGAGACATATTTACAGCCAAGATGGTGAAATGTTACTTCAATAAAATGGGCATGAAATATTATGGCTTCCAAGGTGGTTTGATTTTTGTTGAAACTTGACAAAATGGCTTTTCTTAACATTTGGGTTTCCGACCTCTGCCCTATACTAAAGTGCTACCAATTTTTTTGTATAAATGTATGAAAACATTTATAAAAACATTAATTGTTGTAGGGTCATTAGTCCTAAAACAAAACCTAACCCCAACCCAAAGCCTAACCTTACCCATTAGCATCAGCCTAGTAACACATTCACTTTGACAGACCTAAAAATGACCAACACTGCGACCAAAAAATGTATATAATTGGGTGCGTCCATCTGGTTCTTAGTGCAAGGCGAAGCAGTAGGAGATATTAAAACATGCATCATCATCTCCACCATCTCAGCATGATCTTCAGAAACAAAAAAGGCTTGAAGCTTCTTCTGCTTCCACTGTTATGGGAAAACTTCATCTCACCGTGCTGTGATCCACTGTATCAGCACTTCCTCTGCACTGCCCTTCACATTTCCCTCGCTTTCTGCCTCTCTTTCTTCCCCCTCGCGCCTTTCCTCTCCCATTCTTCTGCTGTTAAAGTGGGGCACACCTGAAATAGCTCAGCCAGGTGTGCAGAAACACAGAGCAGGGCCGTCCCTGGGGAGCTGCTGACAAAGGCCTGGCCCAGTCCACTCCTTTACTCTCTCTCTCCGTCTCTCTCTCTGACTTTACAGCATGACTAGCAAATAGCAAAGTGCACTTAGCAGCAAGCGGACTGAAGCAGCCTCTGCGCTGCACCTCAGTCAGTTCAATCATAATGCTCTCCTTCGAATGCCCCCCCACCAACAGAGGTGGAGAGTTTTACTCGGTGTCATGTACTGAGGAAAATGAATGGATGAATTTGTATTGCTGAGTGTTTTTTAAGCTATAATGCTTATTACTTTTATGCATGTATATTAGAGGTGGGTGAAAAATAATATCATGATACGGCAGTTTTGACGGTACACAATACGGTATGATATATATTTATTTTTGACATCTGATGAGTTGTAACAGACAAAGAAGAGCCACATTAAAAAAAACATCAAAAACACTGAAATTACACAACACAAGTCCAGAGAGGCCATGAGCTGTTGCTGTCATTTTCTGGACAGTTTTCTTGAGATAACAAGATAAGTAACTTGTTATTTCAACATAACAATTTTGTCATCTTGAGATCACAAGATAGTTAACTCATCTTAAGGTAACAACTTTTGTTATCTTGAGATAACAAGACAAGTAACTTGTTATCTCAAGATAACAACTTTGTTATCTTGGAATCACAAGATAATTAACTTGTTATCTCAAAATAACAATCCAGAAAATTATAACTACCTCATGGCCTCTCTGGACGTCCATAAAGTTCTGACAGAAACATATATAAAATTTTCTTAAAGCTTATTCTTAGGTGCATAAATCTTGCCCCAGAAATATTTTGTCCGTTTATTACAAAGGAAACAGTAAGTGGCCACTGTATAAACGCCAGGGCGCAGAACAACTTTTGGTCAGTCATCTTTTACAGTTAAAGGCGAGCTCAGTAATCAGATTTCTCAGTGCATGTGAACTCTTACTCTGATTTCTTTCGGATTTCTCAGACAGACTGTTGTACCGGAAATAAGCGAGCAGTGTTGCCACGAGACACAGCAAAACATTTTGGAGCGACACTGAAACCAAATACATGCTTGACGGAATGAATTATTTTAATTATTTTCATCTTCTAGATCAGGGGTATTTAATTACAATTCAATTTGGTCCAGTTAGAGAAAATTTCCTCAGGCAAAGGTCCAGAACATCATCATGTCTAACTTGCATTATGATTCAGTGCCATATACTGTTTACTGAAGTAGCCTAGTAGGTATACCAACATCTTATACAGTCGACAACTGAATATCAAATCAAATAAAGTACAGTTCAGTCATATTTCAACAACATTTATTGTCAGTTTTCCCTTTTTAGAGCCTCCATGTGAAATAACTTCCCTCTGGCTCACTTTCTCCTCCGACACCTCGTCCCTCCCCTGTGTGCATCACTCAGTCGAGTCTCAGTGCGCATCGTAATGCACAGATCTGATTGGTTGAGTAGCGTCACGTGTGATATTTACAACGCGTGCGATTGGTCTGTGAGTCTCCCAGGCCGCTAAAGCCGTACAGTAAAGGCTAGAAAAGTTACGGCGATTAAAACAGGACCACCCCATCGAAATTAAATAATTCTCTATAGTTTATCGGTTATAGGTCCAGGTCCGCATAGCGTCTGGGTCCAGACTTGGACCGCGGTCCGCCTATTAGTGACCTCTGCTCTAGATGATGTATGTTCATATTCTTCTGTGAGTTTATTGGCTGGTTGCAAAGCAGAAATCTGATTACTGTCAGTTATCGGATTTTTAAGTGCATGTAAAATCAACGTTTATCTGTATTGTCCCTGTCAAATAAACAAATAATAATAAAACTATGAATCCAAAGATTAGTTTTTAACAGTTTACATCCTTTGCTGCACTAAATTCTTAAGACAGAACTAATGACGTTCTCTTTTTAATCAAACAAGCGGTCTGGTTAGTGATTAAGCACCGGTGATATCCACAATATCCCTAAAAAACGTCTATTGTGATGTAATTTATCGCAATGACAATCAGTATGGTCTTATTGCTCAGCTCTGACATGTACTCATAAGAAAAGTCATTTTCAGGGGGTTAATTTCATTATTTTCAGGCCCAGTCTCAAAGGGTCATTTAGTAGGGCAATGCCCCACTAGCCAATCATCATGCCCCGCTAAACCTACTACTTTCTGGATGTGCTTCAATAGCGGCAGGTGGTAAGAGGGCAACGTGAAATTACATGGAACTAAACTTTATGGTAGGGTTTGAAAGCATCACTCAGTATGTTGTTAAAAGACAGCAGGGCTGATGATCTGCTGTAAATGAGGTTTTCCCTTTGATTCATTCCTGAATAATATGCTCCTATTTAATGCTGGCGAGCGGATACCCCCACCCCACGCTGTACAGCCTGACTACAGAAGCCAAAAGCGTTCAGAAGAAAGACTCGGGGGCATTATGGGAAATGTAGTGTCTGTAGTAAAGATGCATAGTCAAAAAGTTTGTGTCATGCAGTTTAGCTCAGCAATCAAGGTTAAATCAGTAGGCTGTACAGCTCACGCACTGACTCCTTCCTACTCTATTCACCTCTGCCAACTGCTAAACAGGAATCAAGTCATAATCCCGTACTGCAAAACACAACACTCACCCAGAAGTTGTTCTTGAAGTATGCCATCTCCATTTATAGGGTTCTTAGAGAGATCTGCGGAGAAAAACAGAGGACGACAACATCAGACATTTTGGCATTTTTTTGAGGTTACGTTCATTTTCAGGACAAAATGCTGTTTATGACATTCCACTATGAAAACAGTCAGCCTGCTGCCGAGCTGCATTCCTCAGAGGTTCATCAAATCTAGAGTCGCACGAATAACAGCAACAATAACAACGTTCATTACTGCCGCTCCAACAGCGGAGCTCCTGGAACGCAAAACAAATAATGCGCTGAAAAAAAAAGGGAACGTAATGCCAAAGAGAGGAACGCTGTTCCTCAAGCGAGGTGAAACGGGGGCACTGCGGAGCATCAGACACAAGTCTAAACTCCCTCGGGGTCCCCTCGAAAGGGCACCTTTTAATAGGATAAAAACAGGCAGAGTGCACAAAGCTGAACAGGTTCAACTTTCAAAGGGAGAGAGAGAGAGAGAGAGAGAGAGAGAGAGAGAGAGAGAGAGAGAGAGAGAGAGAGAGAGAGAGAGAAATGCAGTGCTGCACAATATATTGTTTGTTAATTGTTGTCACTAGGGGTTTAAACAATACGTATATTTTTAGGCAATTCTGTCACGTAAACAAAGTCCGTCAGAGTGGTTTGATTGAAATGGTTCATTGTAGAGAAACTTGCTGGCTCAGATGTCTTTACAGTGGTGGTGATAGGAACCAGGAGTTGCCATGACTACAACACAAATACAGCCATTTTACTTACTATCCAAAACCACCAGTGAACCTACACGAGTCTTCTGCGTTTTTATATGTGATGTTGATGATGGTAAAATATATAAAATAATAGACAAAAAACAAAAAAACAAACATTTTTTTCCCCTCGGGTTAGGGTTAAGTACAACAACCTGCAAGTAAACAATGTCTCGGGCATCGGGCAGCAAATGGGTCAACTAACTAAGATTTCTGAAAATTACAATTTTCAAAAATCTTATTAAAAAGGACACAATGTTCATTTTTTTATCTACAGATATATTTCCATTTACATCTATGTGCATTTTATACCCTTACATATAGTTAGTGTTTGTCAAAGCTTTTAACTGCCTGTTGTGGTTATTATGGTCTGGTTGCGCCATTTGACTTAGTGGTTGTGCCGCTTGACTTTTCAGACTAACTTCAAATTAAACAGACATCTACTTAGACAACCTGTGGAAACCTTTGTCCTTGAGTTATACTTACATTTTTTCTCAAATGAAAAATACATTATTATAATAATGAAACATTTTCATGGTTCTCCTGAGGTCAGACCACCTGACAAGGTAAACTAAACCGTCCTAACTATGACTCAAATATTACATTTTTCCAAAATTTGTGAAAGGGCTACTGACTTTGGCATTGCACCATGAGGGTCATTTGGGGTCTTCTTTATGATGCAAAACCCTAGACCCTCTTTTGTAAAAGTATGTCAAAATAAAAGTCCTTTGTTTTCGGTTGTGCCACCTGACATCTGAGGAAGTAAGAACTTGCAGATAAAAGTTTTTCAGTGAGTGAGTTTTCAAACACACAATAATGCCAAACTATTCTATTTAGAATTTGATATAACTAAATGACCATTTTGATAGTTTACTTAATCAACATATATGCTTTTATACGGTTACACCACCTGACAATTTTGGACATTTTGAGGCAAAGAGAAGCTAAAATGAATTTTATATAGATGCACTAAGAATTGTTTCACATAAAAGAGGCATTGTTGACTAATTTGATACCTCATGTATTAATTCAATTATTTTTTTGGAAAATAATAGACTTGGACATAAAAAAAAAAAATGCACATCATGTAAATGACCTACATAGATAACCATTTAATTTAATATTTTTCTGTGATTGAGCTTTCAGTGGCCTTAAAGCTCATGGGTCAAACACAAGGCCCGTGGCCCAAGTCAAGCCCGTGGCCCAGTCCTATTTGGCCCGTGAAATTATTTAAATTTTCTATTATTATTAGCCCGTTTCACCCTTAGATACACTACAGTCCCCAGCATGCACTGCAACAGCGCGTTCTGACCCCCAGCACCAATCAATGAAGGAGCAGTTACAGAAAAAGTAAAGAATGCTTGGTGTCTATTTCAAGCAGATAGGCAGTTTTAAAAACTACCTATGGGCTTTTTGAGTGGTTGAGTTTGACACCCCTGCCTTAAACTCTTCAGACGTTTGGTTCCTATCACCACCACTGTGAACAATTCTGACTCGGTAAGTTCCTCTAAAAGGGAACATTTCACATTAAACCACTCAGAATGACTGTTTACATCTTAACCATTCAATTTTGCAGAACTTTGGAAAGACTGGTGGAATTCCCCTCTAGATTTGCCATGTTAAAGGCACATTTCACATAAAACCACACCAAACTAAAAATTTCCATCTATGGAAATTCAGCTGCAAAAACAGTCCATGTTGAATTCACTCTTTTTGTGACTAAATTGGGAAGAAAAGTGAGTAATAAATACCATAATTTAAAATCTGTGCTTACGAATAATATTTACAAAGAAAAAAAAGACTAATTGAATTTAATTATCTATACACCGAATAATCACCAGCTAAAATTTCACAATCGTGACAGGCCTACATGCAGTCCTAATAAACAACCAGATAACTTCTAAAAACAGCACTTTATCAAGGTTAGAATCCAGCGGCTTACCAACTTATCAACCAAACCGTTTCCACTGCTTCCGCAGACCTCACAGTCTCATTCATGATCTAATTTCACTTCCCTAAAGAGGGTCACGACAGTTCTTGACATGCCTTAACGATTCTCTCAACTGTAGCCGTCCTAGAGAGCAGCTGTGGTTTAAGCTCAAACCATGCAACCGATAGAGTAAAGGTGTGGAAAAGGTGTGAGGAACTGAAAGGTCTGATGAGCAGAACGCGAGACTTCTCTCTCCACGCTGTCTGTCTGATTTACTTCCCTTTAACTTTCCTGTTATTTTAACTGAGAGGGAGATCCACGTCTGAGTTAAGAGACTCGATGAGGGTGGAAGCCATCAGGCGGAAATGAATGATGTGATGAAAAATACAGGAGGTAAAGTACCGGTGCTGACGGCCCGAGTTTCAATTCATTATTCGAGTTTGTGCAGATGGTCACGTCTTTCGTTCCTTATCACGGAGGAAGCTCTTGGTTTTGGCCTGTTCTGAGTGGATTCCGGGAGCAGAGCTGCTTTACTGATGTAAAGTAGAGGTCGAGCAGCCGGACTCTAACCAGTTTCAATGTAAAACATAGCCTGACTGAGGCTTAAAGGAGAACTCCACCGTTTTTTTTTGTTTTTTTTTTTTCACAGATCTACCACTATTTTACCATCATCATTACATATAAAAACCTCAGAAGACTTGTGTACGTTGGTGGATTTGGACAGTAAATAAAATGGCTATATTTGTGTTGTAGACATGGCGACCCCTGGTTCCTATCAGCACCACACTGTAAATAAACCGGTCAGTAAGTTTCTCTACAAATGAACTGTCAAAGCACTCATCGTTTACATTTCAACCACTGAATTATGCAGACATTTAGAAAAAATGCTGGAATTCCCCTTTAACAGTGCCATAAAGCCTCGTCCACTGTGTGGATTGGCTTCACCCACTGAAGCACTGATCTGTTCTGAGCTCAGCATAGCTCGTACACTCTTGAAAAGATGGTTCTTCAAGAGTTTTTTTGGAAAGACAGTGGTTCTACATAGAACCATGAACACTCAAAGAACCATTTGCATGCTGAGGGTTCTTTGCATGGTGAAACGGTCCTTCAGATTGACGGAGAATGTGTTATATGGCTCTATAGCACCAAAAAGGGTTCTTCTACCTTCTGTAACCCTTTTTATTTCACAGGGTGAAGAGCCCTTTAATCTTGCAAAGCATTCTTGGTTCTATACGGAACCACAGCTTGTAGCAACAGAAGAACTCGTTCTGATGCTATATAGAACCAAACACAACATATTCTCCATCAATCTGAAGTACCATTTCACCATGCAAAGAGGCTTTTAACCATGAAAATGGTTCTATATAAAACCACTGTCTTCACTAAAGAACCCTTGAAGAACTCTTTTCAGATTGTACTCCAGCATGTCGGGTCTTCTCGCATTCGCATAGCTGGTCCGGAGAGTGTAAACTGGGGACGTGGACAGGTACTTGAGCACTCTGATAACAATTTGAGATGTCAGAATTCAAATTATTCGTTATGTTTTATCGCAGGAAGACGGTGCAGAAATGGTGCGAGAGGCTTCTGCACGTTTTTTTGCTAGCTACTCTAGTGGAGCCTAGTTTGCTGGCTACTCCAGTGAAAATCTATTTCTCTGAGAAAGTAACATGCTGGCACGTCGTCCACTGAGAGGAAAAGACCTTGCGTGAACGGCGAGTCCTCATTAGCATCCAACAGTGTACCAGTTAGCTCATTAACTCAGCTGAAGAAGCAGCTTCTGTTGATCATACAACATGAAAACCTTCCGATTTCCTTCGGCTGTTTTTGAATAAAAACATTTCCCCGTTTTGGTTGTTCTTATTTCCTTCCTTGCGGTTAACCGGATATCTGTTCATGAAGTCTTACGGATAACTGAATATTAAATCGGAATGCTCATACTTAAACAGTGCTATTCTGATAGTGTATCGCTGTTGTCGGAAGAAAACCTCGTATCTCCATTTTTGGCGTTTTTCAGTTTTCGACGTAATTTGAAAATGCCTGTGGCTCTTTACATTGCGTGTACATTTCATGATGAATAGACTAAAAGATTACTTGGGGAAAAAAGTCTGGTTCCATTGACTTACATTGAAAATAAAGTATGTTTTTTCCTTCTACTGTAAAGCTACCATTTTGGAGATACGAGGTTTTTCTTCCGACAACAGCGATATATTGTTTTTGCCTGTGTTTGAAGCTCGTGCCTTCGTCTAGCCGCTGTGCCTGCTGCCACTGTTTTAGTGTGGCAGCAGACACAGTCTCAACACCAACCCTAATGAAATAGTAATGCAAGTTTAGGCTTATTTATAAAAGACGGAGGAACACAGACACAAAAC